TCCTGCTTCCAGACGGTGGTAAGGGCCCTCGGGAGCTGCCCCCAACCGCACAGGGTCCTCGGAGTCCGAGCCAGCCTTCTGCCTGGGAAGAGGCTGGGACCAGACGAAGCGTGGGGACCTCTCAGCCCCACATCCTCCTCTGCCGAGCAGCCCGGGTACCACTGGCGGATTCAGGGCATCCCCCTCTGTGATGTGCGCTACTTAGAGACTTAGTGTTAGTTCCATTTAGTTCCATTTAGTGAATGCGTAGAGCAAAGGTTTCCTTAACACACGCCGGGCAGTGTTAAGACTTAGAGAGACGAAACAGTAACTCACAGTCCTGGCTCATTAAGACCCCCGGTCCAGCTGTCAGAGCATCAGGAGACCCACCCTCGTGACAGAGTATGTTCTTGAATGCGCACAGCAGGGGGTGGCCGCCTGGCCTGTTTTCTATGGCATGTGAGCTCTCAGAAAGGTTTAGACAAGGTACTGTTTGGTAACGTGCGCGCATTAGATGAAATTCTGATTTCAAGGTCCATAAATAGTTTTCTTGGGACACAGCCCTGCCCCTTCACTTACCCAGCATCTGCCGCTTTCATGCTGCAAAGGCAGAGCTGAGTAGTTACAAGACACACACAGAGCCTAAAATATTCACTGTCGGGCCCTTTACAAAAACGTTTGCTGAGCCCTGCCATATAGGTTAACTAAAGAGAGGACAAAATAATTTCCAAAGTGCTAGTTAGCCGATCATGGGACCCTGGCGTGGTGCTTGCGAGTAACCTACAAGAAATATAAACATTTAGATGGCACCACAGTGAGGCCATTCCCAAAGACGGGCTCTGCACGCCTCCACGGCTGTCCTCCCGCAGACGTGGCTCAGTACTCAGTAGCCGTCGTGGCTACTAGCAGAGCAGCACCCTGGAGCCTCGGGTGGACAGTGGGGCTGCGGGGTCGGGCCCCGGCCACTGCGGGTCAGCCTACTGCCGGCAGCCGGCCGGCCCTCTGCTCCCAGCAGCAGCTCCTAGGTAGCGCCAAGGGGGGAAGTTAGCGATAACGCAGAGAAGAGAAAGAAGCCCAGCCCAGATCCCGTAACCCTGGTTACACTGATTAAGCTCTGGAAAGCTACAAAGCAGAGAAATAAAATTGAAATGAAAGTTTGTAACAGGAAAGCGAGAGATTGAAGCTCCCAGAGCCGTTTCCCTGGCTGTTAGCAGCAGCTCCATCATTTTTCTTTCTTCCTGTGCACTGCTTTAATGTGTAATAACCTCTGTGAAATGGTGGTGTTTTCTGGAAGAGAGCAGAGGTCAGCTCTTACCTGTGCCCTGCAGTTGCTTCCTCCTACACCCACTCAGTCTCCCCATCTGTCCCAGCGTGTTGTCCTCATAAATATGCAGATTTACTTAGTTCTGTGATGTACGCGCTTCAAGGGGCCAGCACTTAGCATATCAGTGACAGAGAAAATGGAAAACAACACTTGGGCATAAAGAGAGCATTGGGTTAACCTCTCCACGTACAGTCCCATCCCTCACAGTAAACATCACTGAGCATGTGTAATTTACAAGCCTGACCTCACCACGAGCTTTCCTGTCAGGAGCATCTGGGTAAACACGTTACATTACCGTGGCATTGCCTCCTAGACATTGCGAACCAGAACGCTGGTTAAAGCGAAGTAATTGGCCCATATGCATCCTTCACGCCGTCCCTAACTTAGAAGTGTGTGTTCTGCGTGTAGGAGAGGGAAGGTTTGAGGCCGTTCCTCTGACTGGGAGGCAGACAGGCTGACGTAGCCCGTCGTTTCAGGGCCACGTCGTGACTCTGTGCGTCCCAGGGCCCTCACGCGATAGGGCTTATTACTTATTCTTTATCTGGGGGAGCAAACCGTGACCGACTCTACTGGGCAAACCCGCCAGTGTGGCCCACGTTTTACTAATGAGACAGCAGAACACAGTTGGGAGAGTGGAGGCCGCCACCCTGCTGCTGTCAACCCGCTCACCTGTCAACCTTGGTCCTCAGGATCGGCTGTACTTTGTCATGGAATACGTCAATGGCGGGGACCTCATGTACCACATCCAGCAAGTAGGAAAATTTAAGGAACCGCAAGCAGTGTGAGTAGTTTGTAGTTAAGTCCCCGAACGTAGACCGCGCGGCACTCCCACCCAGGAACCTCTGCTGGGGGGATCCGGAGGTGGGGCTGTGCCCGGTTTGGGGTGGAATACTGTCACCTTCCCGGGGGCAGGTTGGTTGACAGGGTCCGCCTAAACGTCTCCTCCAGAGCAGTTTATTCTAATTCCGGCAAGTTGGAGATGCAGGTGTATAGATGCCCTGTTACCCCATCCCACCCTTGTCGATCGAGCCATTCACTCATTAATTGAACAAATAAAGGGGCTCTGGGTGATGGGCCGAACAGAGGGCCTGGCTGGGGAACAGGAGAGCCTGGAAGGGGCCTCAGGGGGGCCTGGCAGCATCAGGTGAAGTTTCCACGGGGCCCTGGCCAAGAGGAGACGGAAGGATGGCCGGCGGAGACGGGGCAGGTGACAATCTGTGTGGAGGACACAGGTTGGAGCCTAAGCCTAGCCAGTGCATGGAGAGACTTTCTGGAGGAAGAAAACCAGAACTTGGGGCCTGGGGGTGAGGAGAGAGAAGCCTCTCCAGGTGCTGCCCCTCTGTAGAGTGGGGAGGGGCAGCGTCCGGAGGAGCAGGTTGCAGGGGATCGCTTAGAAGATCTCAGCGGGATGCAGGGATCGGCAGCCCCGGAGAGAGATGTGGGCTCCAGGGAGAGACAGAATCATCCATCGAGAGGCGAGGCTTTGAGGCCTGAGGAATCACCCCATTTTCCAGGGGCCAGGAAGTCACGGGAAGCTCACAGAAACAAATCTAAACACACAGCTCTTTTGTCCCCGGAGTGAGGGTGCCCAGTGCGCAGGTGCCCTGATGAATCGAGTGGGCAAACGTTAATCGGGTTGCAGCCAGTGTTCAGTCTGAAAGATATAAGCCTGGGGCACTTCCGGCCCGTGCCGGGTGAGCCGGTCTGGGGAAGGCTCACTGGAGACAGAACGGGGCATTCTTGGGCGGACGCTCAAAACCGGAGGGACGGGTGGCCCTGTCTCTCGTGTTGTTAGTTACAGCGCATTGAGATGCACAGGTTACAGAATGAAGCTTGACAACACAGAGCTGTAAAGAGCCACCTTCCATCATGAACTAACAGGCCGTCCCATTTAGTACCATTCCCTTGTATTTGTGCTGATGGAAAGTTTTTCACTTTAAAAATATGGAAAAGCACGAAAAAATCAGATGACAGTCGCCTGTGACCCCTTCTCCCTCCTCCGCCCCCTCCCTCTCCTGCCAGCCCTCAGAGGTGCCCCCCTGCCCCCCGTTGAGGGTTTGGTGTTGTGTCTCTGCTCATGTAAACACACGTGCTTGCTTATTGGAAGCCTCCCGGGTATGATGTTTACACGGGCAGCATCTTGTGTTTTCTTAGATGTCAAGAACTCCTAAACGCTGTGCAAATTTTAAAACCTCCTTCAGCACTCATTTGGCGTTTCAGATATTGACCCCTGAACAATTTTGAAGCGAAGGCAGTAACTGCTTTTTATGATGAATTATTTAAAAGGGTGCATCAGGGGGCTTCCCTGGCGGTCCAGCGGTTAAGACTCCGCACTTCCAATGAAGGGGGCGCAGGTTCGATCCCTGGTCCGGGAACTAAGATCCCACGTGCCTCGCGGCCAATAAATATAAGTTTTTAAAAGTTGTAAGAATGAAAAAATAAAAAGGGTGCATCAGGTCTGAATCCTGGCGTGGGTCCCATTTCTCCCAGCACTTGGGGTAGGGGTGAGGGGGTGAGTAAACCACCTGCAGAGATCATCACACCCTGTCCTTTGTCTTCCAGGGCACAAGTGTATTTGCAAACATTAATGTATTCTGCCCTTGAATGGGAAAATGGAAATTTGCTCCAATCTACCATAGCCCTGACACAGAACAGCCTAGCAGACAGCCACTCTTTTAAAGATCGTATTCAAAATGTCTTTTGAGCAGTAATTACCTGTCTACCTGCGCCAGACAAGAAGCGCTTATTTGGGGACAGGGGATAAACCTGCTTCATTGGTTTTGCTAGCTGTATCATCCCTTGGGGAGGTTGGAGTCATAAAACGGCAGAGGGTTGACGACACGTGTAGGGCAGTGCTGAGCTCTGCTCGTCCAGGGTCTTCCATCCTTTTGCCATTTTGATGCCCGATCTTGAGGGTAAAAGGTATCCAGGAGGCCAAAGAAAGCAAAGCCAGACACCTGACAGGTGTTTTATTTTGCAGGTTCTACGCAGCAGAGATTTCCATCGGGTTGTTCTTTCTTCATAAAAGAGGAATCATTTATAGGTGTGTATCGAAGCCCTGCTGGCCGCAGCACTGTGGAGGCTTTGCTGGACCTCTGGGCTCTGTGGCTGTGAGTTCTGTGATGGCGACTTAGAACATGGAGCGGCCCCCCACCACCACCACCGCCACCACCACGCCCCGGGTCACGGAGAACTGCGGGGAGCCCCATTCTTTCCGCAGCCTCCGGGCAAATCCGAACCACCTTCTGGTTTCCGGACCTCAGAAGATCGTTTATCTCATTTCTGCTTCTGCAGGAAAACATGCTTTTCTTTCCCCTGCCAGCTCCTTCCTCTGCCTTTGACTTGGCACAGAGGTGGGGGGCCAGTGAAAGCTGCATTTCTGTTGGCGATGCTCCGCAGAGGAACACGGGAGCTGGGAGGGGAAGGGGACAGCTGTTGGATTCGGTTCCTCCCGTTGTTGGTTACAGTGAAGGGAGAATGTTCTCCAGTATTAAGCGGAGAGTAATTAGAAGACCATACGGCACGGGGCAGAATGGAAGGGACGCGGGTGACCCAGCGAGGTTGTTCTGAGCCCGTGATTTGCACACCTGGCTGTGTGTCTGATCTCTCCGGGTGGGACACTAATAAACCGGTGAGTGGGGTCTCCTCAGAGCTGCTCATTTGGGATCTCTGGTGATTCACCTGCACAGCCAAGGTCGGGAATCACTAGCTCAGTCATTTAGTCATTCGTTCAGTCTGCATTTATTAAGTACCTGCTGCATGCTAGGCACTACACTGGGCTCTAGAGATGGAAAAATAAATAAGTCCTCATTCCCGGTCCCAGCACTCCCGTGACTGTAGTTAATGTGCCATTGGGACGCAGCCACTCACGGGCGCTTCTGTCTCACGAGCAGCAGAGCAAAGCATGTGACATTATGGGAAGGACGCTGATGCCACCCGCTTCTTTGCAGAGACCTGAAGTTAGATAACGTCATGCTGGATTCGGAAGGACATATCAAGATTGCGGACTTTGGGATGTGTAAGGAGCACATGATGGACGGGGTCACGACCAGGACCTTCTGTGGGACCCCGGATTACATCGCCCCGGAGGTAGGACCCCGACTGGCCTGGCTTTTTAGACCAGGGGCTTTCCAGCTACAGACACAGCCCCCTCGTGGGATGTAGAGTCATCCCTGGATCACCAAGTCGATACGTGGGGAATAAATAATACAGACAAAGAAACCACGAGACCTCCCCCACACAGAGTAAGGATACGCCTTGGTTCACGGAACTTTTGTTTTTGTTACACATACGTGTGAGATGCATGCATGGTAGAACGTATTTCTTACGTGGTCACCAGCGAACCAGCTTAAGAAACACTGTGGGGCAAAGAAGGGAGGATCTTGCTTGTGAGAGGGCTGTGCATGGAAACACTGGGTCAAAGGTGGTCCCGATGATGCCTCTTTAGCAAAATCAGAGTGATTTATTTTTTGTTTTGTTATGGTTTGTTTATTTTTTTTATTGAAGCATAGTTTATTTATAATGCATTAGTTTCAGGCGTACAGCAAAGTGATTCAGTTGTATAAATGTGTATGTATCAATGTATATATATATATATATATATATATATATATATATATATATATATATATATTCATATTCTTTTGATATATATATATATATTCAGATTCGTTCTCAGATTTCCTTTCCATTATGTGTTATTACAAGATAATTGAATATAGTTCCTTGTGCTACACAGTAGGTCCTTGTTGTTTATCTCTTTTATATACCGTAGTGTGTATACGTTAATCCAAATCTCCTAACTTATCCCCCGCTTCCCCTTTGGTGACCATAAGTTTGGTTTCTGTGTCAGAAAATCAGTGATTGGTGCTCTCAGCGGCACACTACAGTGGATCATGGGAAGAGCATACCCATGTGGTTCTAAGCAAAGTGGCTCCAAGATTTGTGTGTTGACAGCAGTGGCCATGCGGCATTGTCTTTGTCATTGACACATATTGAGCAGCTTTCTTCCTATTTTACAAAGCTTCCTACATGCCAGTGATTGGGTGGGTTAGAACCCTGGGTCGCTGTATAGCCACCTTTCTGACCACGCCCCTCCCTGTGGACGGCACCGTCCCTTCCCCACTGAGCTCCAGCAGGGAGCGGGTGGTGGACTGCACGTTAGGCCAACCTTCAGCTCTTTGTAGAGCTCTCGTGTTAGCTGTCGGGTGGCTTTGTGGTATTTATTCAGCATAGCGCCTCGTGCATTTATCTCCAAGGCAGTAACAATAGTCAAAAAGACACACGATTGGAAATCCGACCAGTGTGAGCTGCACTCCTGACTTTATTATTTACAGGCTGTGGGAACTCAGGCAAGTTCCTCAAACTGTCTGAGCCTCCGTTTCTACAGTGGCAAGTCAGGGATAATACTGTCCGCCCTGTAGAGTTGCTCTGAGGACTAAGGTGCCTAGTACAGTGTTTGTACCTGGCAACCCTCGTCATACCCATTATTCTAAAAGGGAAGCTAATCTTTATCCCTTTGTTGAGGCTTTTTTTTTGCCTGTTATATTCCTGGACAGTGTAGGAACACAGGCTTAGACCATTGACTTAGAAACTTAAATTCTGAATTACGTGGGCAAAGATGGGATGTTCTCTTGATACATAACCTACATAACCTCTTTCC